GCTTGTAGCAGTGACTGAGTCCTAATCTGGACTCTTTAACAGGGGAGAGAGGGGAAGGGGCAAAGTCTCTTTTTTGTGCAAGTGTCTCCTGCTCTTTCTCTTTTAGGTGAGGTTTTCCTGAGCTGCCAAATCCCCATTAAGAGTGGTGAGGGGGACGGACAAACTAACTCTCAACCCATGATTCATCTAGAATTCTCTACAACTCCCAAAAATCAATTCACAGTCATGTAAGTTTCTGATACCTGTTCTTGAAATTCAGAAATAATTTTTTAAATTTCTTAGACTAATTTTCCTATGACAAAGTTAATAGCTCACATATCAGGAAAGTAGAATGGCTTTAATGGATGAATCACAGTCAACATTATAAAAAATGATTCTGCTACTTCTTGTTTGCAGAATAATTCTTTGCACCTCTATTGCTGCCACCAAGAAAAAAAATCTGGTGCAGTGAGTATAGACTCAGCATATTCAAATAGCAGCTCTCTCACACACACAAAAAAAATTAAGAATTTAAGAACTACTATGCTGTTTTGGAAGAAAATTAAAGTGAGATTGATAGCAATGTGTCTCTTTAATTTCACAAGGGATTTTTGGGAGGAGTTTTACCATCACATATGCTGTATTAATTTCTTATCCATGTAGAGAAGAAATCTTAAATTATCAATATTACTTTGCCTTACCGAATTCAAAAATTAGATTCCACAACCCTGCATAAAAGCAAAAAAGAATGATTGCCTTATTAAATAAGTGGTGAGGAAATGTGTGAAGAATAAGGGTACCTCAATGCCAGCTAATCTCTGGGGACTGAAATACAGAAATATCAGTGATTCTGAAGCATTTACTCTATCAACACTTGGACCTAGGTCTCTATGAATAGGTAACATGGTTGAGAAACAATTGTCCTCTCGTACAGTATAACATTACCAGGCATTACCAATAATCTCTAGGGGTACTAGAGGATACTAAATTTATTACATCAAAGTTAATTTTAAATACACTTGAAGTTTAAAAAATATTCTATATAATAAAACCCCAATATGCAAATGGACCAAACAGCAGAACAATCAGTTGCTATGATGCCCACTGAGGATCAAAGGCAAACGCTCAATGCAGGATCTGCCCCCTGGTGGTCAGTGCGCCACTCAGCCAGAAGCTGGGCTCATGCAGCTGCAGTGGCAGGAGCCTCTCTTGCTTTCGCTGCAGGCCTGCGGTAAGGCGCGAGGGTCTTGGACTGCAAGAGGGTGCAGGCCAGGCTGAGGGACCTTCCCCCCACCCCAGTGCATGAAGTTTTGTGCACCGGGCCTCTAGTATAAGGTATAAATAGAGAAAGGTATAAGCGCCTCCTGCCACCAGAGTACAGATCATCATAGATAGGCAGCACATGCTTTGATTTGCAGGGTTGGCTATATCTTATGCCATGTTTGTTTATATGTTATTTCATGTCAACATAAAAATAAATATGAAAAATAAATAATAATTTTTAGAGTAAAGAATATACATTCAAGTATACTTAAACTATCTTTGAGTAGCACCTGTGACAAGGTAGAGTGTGCATTTGCAAAATCAAGCCAAGTGCGAGAGTTTCTAATGATCATAGGGTTTCAAGGTGAAGGGCAGGCACATATAGTGAGGCATGAAGCAACTTTTGAGATGTAAGTAATTTGGATTTCTCCAATAGTTAAAATAGCCATGTTAAGATCAGATCTTCATTGACGCTAGTCTCTAAAGAGATCTGATTCAGTCATGGGATATGGCAGCTGGTGTTCCAGGGTCTTGGAAGGATTGTCAATCAGTGTACATGTTTGGGAGGAACCACACAATAGGATTCCTGCCTGTATCTTTGTAAGTATAAGTGAGGGAATTCAGTGACTAGAGAGAGGATTAAGGTCAAAGTCAAGTTCACTGGAGTTTGGGATAAGGTCCCCTAAGAATTTAGGCAGAAAACCTTGTCAGATGGACTTCAACAAAGAGCAAATGTTACCTGATGGCTAACAGGCACTGGGAAGGCAGATGACCTGGGCTGACCCTAGCCAGCCTCCTTGTATTTATCAGCAATGGGAGAAGTTTCAGATATACCAGCTGGTAGATCAAAACCTTCTGATTTCTGACCCACTTTGGTCAAGATCAATTGGATGACTAAATGGGTTAAACTAGCACATGGGCCGGAGAAGTCAAGAATAAATATTGATATTACAGATTTTTTGTTCTGATCAAGAAATCAAATATCAAAGTGAAAACATCTGACACCAAAGAAAGTACATATGTTAAAACAAGTGAACACAAAGTTGATGTGCTTCTTTGAGCTCTAGTCTTATCTCTGCAGAATTTGTCTTCACAAGGGCAGACTGGGCATCATGTTCTGAAGTGTTCAAGGTCTATACAAAACAAAGAAAATGACCTAAGTCTCTGTACTTAATGCTTTTACTGTAACAGAGCTCAACAAATATGGGCTTTCTGTGAAACATTTTCCTCCAAATAGGAAAACCCAGCTTGATACTAACCTCAATCAATTGCCCTGGCTCTGAATAAAACTGTTGGTAGGCAACCTATATACTGTCTGTTATCATCCTAACCTGTGAAACTCAAACCTATTTCTAACCCACAAGTCCTAAAGCATCTAGTGTCCTTGACAATTTTTTGAATTTCTTTCCTTTTCTTCTTTCTTTTGTGGGAGAGGGGAAAAGCTGTTGTATATGGTCTCTACTGGCTCTGCGCTGTATTTCATTGAAGCAGTTCAGTCTGAATGATCTTGCCATAATTTGCATTGTCTTTCTTTCTGCCCTTATGCATATGTTGTTCTTGTTTGTCTCTCCAAAATAGAGCAAACACAGCCTGTAAAATGCAGCACAATTTTAATGATGTTTTATAGCAGCAGGAGTGATTAATTACTTTATTATACATCGCTGTGCTAAATAGTTGAAGATAGAATATTAACTCTCATCTTAGAAGTCTTCATGCATTTTGTTACTGAGAATTTCTCCCTGGCCAGTCTCTCCAGCTCCCAACCTTTCACCATGTTCCTCAACCCCCTATCTCTCTTCTCCCTGATTTTCTTCACTCCTCTCTTGCATCTCCAAATTTCTGTTAACTTTTATTCAGAGTAAATTAGCTTTTCTGTGTTTTACTGGTTCATCCTAGACTAGTACTTTCCAAGTTGTGATTGTGACCTTTTGTGGGTTGAGAACTCCATTGCATAAGTTGAAGCAAGCATTTTAAGAAAATGAGATAGAACCAGATGGAAAATATCCAAAGGCATTGTACATGATAAAGTGGAATTTTGTTGTGGATTCCATCATGTTAGGAAACATGTTTCACTTCACTGCTGGACCTTCTTCCCATACACAAGTGTTCTATCGAGGTGTTTTCCTCAACAAATGACATTTCTCTACTATGTAGGTTCTCAAAAATCCAGTCTACTACTCATGGGAAATTGTGCTCCACCATTGCTGCTACTGAAAAGGACATGGCACCAGAAGCTTTGAAAGCTGTTCCCAATGAATCATTTCCAAAAGCCTTGCATAGCAGATGCAAAGCCTCCTGATGACACCTTGGTGTGAAGCAACTTTTATTTACATGTATGTTGAGCTTCATTAAGGAAAAATTCCAGACTGATTCATCAATATTTATGCTACTTCTCTGTTACTAAGTTACAATTTTAAGAGGGAGTGAGGAGTGTGGTCAAGGAAACGTAGGGAAATTATCAACTTTCCAAATTCAAGGATTTCTCATCCAGGAGAAATTGGTGTTTTAACCAAGCTGCACTTGCTATGCTATGGTGCTGAGAGGAAGTGGGTGTGTGGTTGCATTGGGGTGGCAATGTGGGTGATGGTCAATTATGGTAAAGAACTCCAGTTTGATAAGCAACAAAAACTAAGAGGTTTATTTTTTTTCCCTTTTTTGATTTTAGACCAAGAACTTCCATTTAAAATGACATTTGGGGGATGACAGTTTTGTCTGTAATTAATTTTACTATTTCATTATTCCTAAAATTAAAAAAAAATATGTATTTCCCAATAAAACTGTAACTTTCCTTCAGCAAATTCACACTAAAAAAAGTCAGAAAAACTCATAAAATACACATAGGTGTCATGATTAAAAAGTTTTAACTTTTGACAATAAAAAAAAAAATCTGATGTTCCTTGCTGAGTAAGATTACCTGCTTCATTGGCCCAGACACTGCAAAGCAAAGAAGCAGACACTTGGACTTATGATGCTTTAAAATGTTTATATGTCCCAATTTAGTGTCTGATACCAGAGAGATCCAGTTCTCTGTACCTCTCACCAGCTTGGGGGAGGGGGTACTTTGTTGTAGCAATAGTAAGTTACTACAGGTGGCACTCTCTTGGAAGATTATTTCTAAACTATAAGGTACTTAGATCTTCTGTAAGGCATACTTATATACTGATAACAGTACTGCATGCATATTAAAATCCATGATGCTAATGCAAGCTAAGAAAATAAGAACTTTGACCAAAATGGATAATAAAGCTTCTGAACTTGTCCCATTCATTACATGTCTGTAGTTAATTTCAGTTCACTAACCAAAAATCTTTATGAAAGTTTGATTACAGTTACTGCCTATAACCAACTCCATTAATAATAAATCCTATTTTAATACATAACAATAGAGGTCTCTATGTTAAACAGATGATATGGAATTTCCAGTGCCAGCATCAGCGACAAAACTATTTTTTAATTCTGGGCATGTAAGGCAGCATTTATTCCTTTTTATTTTTCGTGAAAGAGTTTATATGTCATCTTTCCCCCTTTGGGGAAATGACTGTTGTTACTGGAGCACACTTTGTCATTTTGAGGCCTAAGGAGTAAATTGTGCATTATCTTCACTCCACTGAATTTTAACCAGTCATTGAGAAGTATTGGTTTCCATCCTGATTAAAAGGTAAAAGCGCATGCTTATCAAATGGAATTCTCATAAGTTGCTGGGGGTTGGTACAACCACTTTGGAAACAGTTTGCTAATTTCTTTCTTTGTTATTATTTTTTTTAATGAAATGCTTCATGAATTTGTGTGCCATCCTTTCACAAGGCCATGCTAATCTGCTCTGTATCATTCTAATTTTAGGACATGTGTTGCCGAAGCAAGCACAGTTTGCTAGCTTCTTATGAAGGTAAATAAACATCTAATGGATCACCTATCAATTCTATTCCTAGATATTCTAAGAGAAATGAAAAAAAATGTATATATAGAAAAATATTTTAACAAAAACATTGTTTTCTGCTTTTTTCTTTTTTAAGTCAGGGGGACTGAACAAGCCACATGTTGTGTTAAGGGTGCTTAAATCTATCTTTTCTGTCTCATGCCAAGCTTGTGTGAGAACCAGGACATAGAATGTTAGATCTTCAAATAGGGGTCAAGTGGGGAACTGAGGAAGAAAAGAGCTCCAGAGTTTGGGTGCCAGGCCTGGCAATATTCTTAGCACTGGTGTATAAAAGAGCATATAGAGTTTTTTCCCACACTCTAATGGTACTGCTGGGGCTATACTGGACATGGCACACAAAAAGGTAGTTTATGTTCTATTATTTAGTCAGTTTTTCCTTATCTTGCTGTGTGCTCCTTTGTTCTTGTTCATATACCTGGTATTTATTGCATTGCCTATTGCCATAAGGTGTGGTGGTAGCCCAGACTTCTAAGAGAATTTGCAGCTATGTTCTAATCCTGGTAGTGAGTATAAAATTTTTTATTAAAATATGTGGATAGTTTGAAATTGCTTTATAAACAGAAGATTAAGAGCTTTTTTTTTTTTTTTTTTTTTTTGTGCTTTCCACTAGTAAGCCTTGGCCAATACTCATGTAATTGTATTCCTGCATGAGAGAGAGAAGAAATGTTAGGCACATCCCATGGTAGGAGAAATGATGTGAGCAAAGGTGAAATCTGGGTGAATCTGCTTTATTCTTAATAGCCCCAAACCAAACCAGAAACAGCCTACATGTCCACTAACAGATGAAAAATGCTAAGCATAGAGTAGGCAGAAAATTAGATTTAAATAGGATTGGAGTTTTTTGAGAAAGTAAGATGGAGGGAAAGAGGAGCAAAGTCGTTGAGGATGTATATGAGGATTGTAATAAGGAACTAAAGATGCTAGGCTGGTTAAGAAGGATGAGGTTATGAGCAGACTGGGATGATGCAGTGACAAGGCAGAAATGTCCATATATTATATAAACCATTGGAATTGAAGCTGGAGATTTAAAAAAATATATATTTTATTGACTTTTTTACAGAGAAGAAGAGAGAGGGATAGAGAGTTAGAAACACCTATGAGAGAGAATCATCCATCAGCTGCCTCCTGCACACCCCCTACTGGGGATGTGCCCTCAACCAAGGTACATGCCCTTGACTGGAATCAAACCTGGGACCTTTCAGTCCGCAGGCCAGCGCTCCATCTACTGAGCCAAACCAGTTTCGGCTGAAGCTGGAGATTTAGAAGAAACAAAGTAGAAAAAAATGTGGGGTCAGAAAGTGAGATGCTTCAAGTTAAAGGATTGGAAGACTTGGGTTATTGGGAATGACAAATCTAAGGTATAAATAAATATATCAATAAGGTTGAAGAATTCATAAGATAAAAGGGGTCTGGGAGTTGAGAGGCCAGGCATTGAAGAATCACCTACATTGATGTTAAAATCATCAAGTGTTATGATGGCATTGAACACAGTAGCAATGAACCAGGAGCTAAATCTTTGAAGAACAAGTGATGTAACCAAGAATTGGCAGGTGACTGCAACAAGATGAGCAGATATGCTTCCTGGTGTCTTTGCTGCTTCTTGAGACCTTTGTTCTTTCCATTCCCTCTGCCTGGAATACTAGCCTCTTCTGATATTAGAATTGCTTTTTCCTTCACCTCATTCAGGTCTTTGCTGATATTTCATGTTTCTCAATAAGATCCTTCCTGACCATCCTCTGGAATGACCATCTTCTGGAAAAACAACCTCCTTATTCATCTTAAAATGTTATTTTCCGTATTTCTGCTTTATTTTTCTCAATAGAAACTAACATCTAGCATACTATATATTTCAATTACTTTATTTTGGTATGTTTTTGATTTACTAGACTCCAGGCCATGGCACACAAGAAGGTGGTTTATGTTCTATTATTTAGTCAGTTTTTTTTATCTTGCTGTGTGCTCTCTTACTCTAATTTTACTGCTAAATCTCTGATGCCCAGGACAGTGTCCGATACATGATGCATGCTTAAAAAATATCTATATGCTTCGATGGCATGACCTTCAAAGTTTGGCGGCTTTAGTGAGGATAGATGGACAAAAGTCTGGAAGCAGCAATGATGTTCAGGGAGGACACCCACCCACCTCCAAGCTGAGGTCCTATAGATGTGGAAGAAATAGGAGTTTCCACCAAAGAGGGCTTCAGGGAGCACTGTGTGATAGTTCACACTGAGCCAGGTTTCAGACCAAAGGTTGAAAGGGATATTCCAAGAGGAGCTGAGGACTTAGTTGGCTTTGCTGTGAGTTACGGAGGTCCTGGGGCAAGGTTTTGGAGATGGAGAGGGGTGGCAGCTGGGGTGATGTAATTGTGTGGAAAGAAGTGAACCCTGCTGAAACTGGTTTGGCTCAATGGATGGAGCATTGGCCTGCAGACTGAAAGGTCCCAGGCTCGATTCCGTTCAAGGGCATGTACCTTTGCTGGTACATCCCAAGTGGGGAGTGTGCAGGAGGCAGCTGATCAATGTTTCTAACTTTCTCTCCCTCTTCCTTCCTCTCTGTGAAAAATCAATAAAGTATATTAAAAAAAAAAAAAAAGTGAACACCTGTGCCAGTTAGGGCAACCAGATAGGGCTCTTCCTGATGATCTTTCAGAAAATGGTGGTGGCAAGGCTCTGAGGATTTTGGTTTAGGTGATACATCAGTGTTCCTAGGATCACACAGGTTTCTGAAACTCTCTCCAGGTGTGAATCACCTTATAAGAAAGAAGTGGAGAAATGTATGCCCAACATCTAACACATGTGATAGATGTTGAGTAAATATTTATTGGCTGAATGAACAGACAAAACAGTGCTGAAATTAAATTGGATAAAAAGAAACAAAGTGCTTCTTTAACTCTTAGGAGGCACTCATGTGAAACAGCACTACTTAAATCCAAGGAGGAAAAGCCAAAGAAATGTAGACACAGCCTGTGCCCTTGAATAACCTGCAGTTAAGATTTTAACGCAAATTGTGCTCACTGTCACAGAACTCTGCATATTTCAGGGAAGGACAAGAAAGAGGCATTATAAAAATGCCCTTCCAGCTTTAACATGACAGACGAATGTATTTAATTCATTGAGTCAGAGATATATTATACTTCATATGCAAAAGCACAGGAGATAATTAATTGTCATGTGGATGATAAAGATGACCTCAATATTATTCTTGTCTACACCAATACATTGTATGAAATCCTGAGAGCTTTACCTCCTCCCCATGGCTCATTTCTGTCTAAAAAACAGAGCTGAGAATTTCTGAGTTATTAGTTGACAAGTATAAAAGATTGTCAAAGACAATTTTGGTTGGTCTATAGAATGAGATGGAGTTTGCTTCAGAGAGAGAGGGCATGGGCAAAGGTACAGTAGTTGGGTTCCTGATATTTCTGGGGAGTTAGTGTGGACTCGGTGAGGCCTGTGCAGAGAAGCAAGACGTGTTTGGATGCCCATCGAACAGTAAAGACCCGTCTTCCAGGCCTTAATGACTTGTGTTGGGATTAATCAATTTACTTGTCCATGTTATGTTGATAGTAGCATGAAGAAATCATTTGCAACTGTGTTTCCAAGTTGCTAAGATGTTTAAAAAATCAGAGTGGAAGAAGCAAAAATGCTTGAAAAATTCAAACCTGGAGAATAATTTGCCTACTGTTTCAAACTTATATTAGCCATGTTGTGGTATATATAAAGTAAATAGGTCACTTACCTTTCCTTGAAACTCATTATTATTTCAAACTTTATTCGTTTTTTTGTGTGTTTATATTGCCATTACCAGTCCAGAGGAAATTTTTACAATGGCAGGTGTTGTTAAGAACTTTCAAAGTGTCAGCCATTGACTCTATGGCAGTTGTTCTCAAAGTGTGTTCTAGGGACTTTCTGGGGATGGGGGAGTGCCAGACTCTCTCAGAGGTACCATGAGGCCAAAGCTATTTTCATAATTAGACTAACATACTAACTTTTTTTGCACTTTTTTTCAAGAGTGAATAGCAGTAGAGTTGTCTTGAGACTACAATGTCACATTAAAATGTTATTTACATTAATCATAAATGTAATGATTCATTATTATAATTTTTAAAGTAAGTGAATAAAAATATTTTAAAATTCTTCATTTTAATTTCCAATATTATAAATATTAATAAGTAACCCTTATAAACAAAAACACTTCAGAGGTTCCCAATATTTTTTATTTATTTATCTATCTCATGCAAGTACTTCTCTGTTTTTTAATTAATTTATTTATTTTTAGTGAGGTAGCATTGATTAATAGCAACATTATTTACATCAGCCAAGATGTAGAAACAGCCTTAGTATCCATCAACAGATAAGTGAATAAGAATGATGTTTTATACACACACACACACACACACACACACAAACAATCTTGTCCTTTGTGACTACATGGATCAATCTTGAGATTATTATGCTAAAGTGAAATGATTTTTAAAAGTGTAAAGGACTTCTGAGATTAAAAAAAAAACAACAAAAAAAAACATTGGGAACTGCTGTTCTATGTTAATCAGGAACCATCCACAACTATGAGACTCAGCCTTTCTCTATCTGAAAAATCATACCTCAAAGCTCTTAGGTCCTCCAGATGTTAAATGAGAAAACATGAAGCTGAGAGCCAGTCCTAGGACTAGAAGGCACACAGGGCTGCTCCTTCTGGCTCACTTGGGCTTCTGGTTATTGGAGCACCTTATCCCACCAGGGCCCTCTCGCTGTTCCCTATCTATATATAGATTTGAACTTTGCTTCTGCAGCAGAAATCAAAACTTAGCTTGCCTGAGTCCTTCTGATTTTCCCCCCCTATTGTACTTTCTTTAAGCTTTGGGAAAATAAAATATCTCAGGGAAAAATTGAAGCCTATTCAGTCAATTAAGGTTTATCTTCTTTTAATT